GCTCTGTGGTAACCTAAATGGGAAGGAAATCCAAAAAAGGGGATATATGTATACGTATAGCTGATTCACTTTGCTGTATAGTAGAAACTAACACAGCATTGTAAAGCAACTACACTCCGATAAAAATAAAAAATAAAAGTAACATCTAACAGTGCTGTCCAACAGAAATATAATGTGAGCAACGTATGTAATTTTTTATTTTCTAGCCACATAAAAAAGGAAAAATAAAGAGATAAGAGACTTCCCTGCCGGCGCAGTGGTTAAGAATCCGCCTGCCAATGCAGGCAACATGGGTTCAAGCCCTGATCCGGGAAGATCCCACATGCCGCAAAGCAACTAAGCCCGTGCGCCACAACTACTGAGCCTGCGCCCGAGCCCATGAGCCACAACTACTGAGCCCGTGTGCCACAACTACCAAAGCCCACGCACCTAGAGCCCGTGCCCTGCAACAAGAGAAGCCACCGCAAGAGAAGCCCGCGCACTGAAACAAAGAGTAGCCCCCGCTCGCTGCAACTAGAGAAAGCCCGTGCACAGCAAGGAAAACCAAATGCAGCCAAAATTAAATTTATTTTTTAAAAAAGCAATAAAATTAATTTTAAGAGCATTTTTATTTAACTCAATATATCCAAAATGTTATCATTTTAACATGTAATCAGTATAAGTATCATTAATGAGATATTTTACATTGTTTTTTTCGATACTAAGTCTTTGAAATTCAGTGTGTATACTTATGCACACCTCAATTCAGATCAGACTCATTTCAAGAGCTCAACAGCCATATGGCTACCATAAAGAATAGCGCAGATCTGGAATATGATCCTATTTTTATAAAAGTCTTTGCTTAGTGACCTATTCTTCCATCTGTATGTATAGAGAGATCTGTCATGCTGTTCACCTAATACTTACAACAGTAACTTTCAGATGATAGGATTTGAAGGGAATTTTTTTTTTCTTTTTTTTGCGGTACGTGGGCCTCTCACCGTTGTGGCCTCTCCCGTTGCGGAGCACAGGCTCCAGACGCGCAGGCTCAGCGGCCATGGCTCACGGGCCCAGCCGCTCCGCGGCATTCCCGGGCCGGGGCACAAACCCGTGTCCCCTGCATCGGCAGGCGTACTCTCAACCACTGCGCCACCAGGGAAGCCCTTTTTTTAACTTTTAAAAAATACTTTTCTGTGTTGCTTGAATTTGTTTTAATGTGTAAATTACTTTTACAAATTCAATCAAATCATTGTGTAAAATGTAAATAAAAATATCAAAGAAACCAGAGAGATGTTGGTGCTCTAATCTAAAGCATCATACAGGCTAATCCCTAAAAATGTGTGGGGACTTCCCTGGTGGTCCAGTGGGTAAGGCTCCGAGCTCCCAATGCAGGGGCCCAGGTTCAATCCCTGGTCGGGGAACTAGATCCCGCATGCCGCAACTAAGACTCGGCACAGCCTAAATAAGTAAATAAATAAAATATTAAAAAATAAAAATGTGTGAAGACTGGTAGATGAAAAGCATTTAACAAAAAGTAAGAGAACACACCACACTTTCATAACCACCAACACCAAGCATTCATTTAAAATATACCTTTTGGGCATCCCTGGTGGTGCAGTGGTTAAGAATCCGCCTGCCAATGCAGGGGACACAGGTTCGAGCCCTGGGCCGGGAAGATCCCACATGCCGTGGAGCAACTAAGCCCATGCACCACAACTACTGAGCCTGTGCTCTACAGCCCGCGAGCCACAACTACTGAAGCCCGCGCACCTAGAGTCCATGCTCCACAACGAGAAGCCACTGCAATGAGAAGCCTGCACACTGCAACGAAGAATAGCCCCCGCTCGCTGCAACTAGAGAAAGGCCGTGCACAGCAACGAAGACCCAACGCAGCCAAAATAAAATAAACAAATAAATAAATAAATTTATTTTAAAAAATAAAAATAAAATAAAATATACCTGTTGGAGGAGTCCTGAATCGGAGTCTAACACACAGGCATCAATCAAAATATTCTGAAATGAACATTTCAAAAAATATTATAGGAATAACAATGACTACCTTACAGTGAGAACCTACTATATGCCAGACTCTATTCTTAAAATGGCTCATTTAACATGAATAACTTTGCAAGGGAGATATTTGATTTTCATTTTACAGCTGAAGCACCCAGGCCTTGGCCGGGCGGTGGTCACAGAGCCAAGGGGAAGCAGTGCTGTCACCCCCAGTCTGCCTGTCCCCAAAGTCCATGGTCTTTTCACTATATCATGCTACCACTCCAAGATGGAGAATATTTTACATGGCTATAGTAGCACTTCAGGTTAAAACTGAAGTTTTAAGGAAGTTTTTTTTTTTTAACATATCAAAGAAGAAAACGTATTAGTGATAACTCATCTGAACACTTCGGTTATTTGCAAAGTAAAAATATCAAATCTTTTTAAGACCTCCCTGAAGCAAAGAGACAGAGAAACTGAAGCAAGGTATGCAGCAAACTATAAAACCTAGAATTCTTAGCCTGGGGTCCAAGGATGGGCTAAACGGTTGCAGGAATACCACAAAAGTATCTGCAAAACTGCTTGAGCAGATTGTTCTGGGGGCCCATCAGATTCTCAAGGCTCCAGGACCCAAGATACAGAAATGACTAGTACTGTACAAAATATGGATTCCAGATTCCCTATCCCTTAATAAGTATCTAGTCAGGATACCTCTCTAAGTAGGTCATTCAAACAATAAAATTAACTCCTTCATTATGGAACCAATATTCTTCAAAAAGAAGGCTCTCAATTCACCTGCTTCTGTGCTGCAAAGATGACATTCATGAAGTTCATATACTGCAACGTGCTGTCTTCTGCAGCCTTAATAACCTAAAAATCACATCCATGTTAATACCTTTCAGCCACATCCTAGTATTCTCACTCAAATGTCATCACAGTATACTACAAATTACAACCAATACCATCTCTCTAATTTGTCTTTGAAGTTATTATTAAATAATACCTAAAACTGTAAAGATGACTGCAAAAATCTCCCCCAAATCCTATCCCTCAAGAAATAACCCTTGTTAATAGTTTCTAAAGAACACTTACGTGGCCATGTATATATACTCACACATACACCCCCCAGGATGATACTCTATCTAGTGTTCTGCAACCTGCTTTTTCAGTCCACAATATTTGGGGGGAAAATCTTACATCAATAAATTTGGATGTAACCATCCTTCATGCTGAGTTCATAGATTTCCACCGTTGAACCAATTATCTATAGAAGACACTGAAGCAGTTTCCAAACCTCGGTTTTAGACAATGCTCTAACGAACGCTCTCATCTACCCTTTGCACAACTCTCCCATTAGCTCCTAAAATCATCAGTGAGATTACTGAAGTGTCTGCACATTTAATTTTGACACATATTACCGAACTGCCCTCCAGAAAAGCTGTACCAGTTTATCCTCCCATGGGCGATGCAAGGGAATAACCACTAGTAGGGCTGACCATATTTCCAAATGCTAACTGGTCATTTTCATTTCCTCTTCTGCAGATTGCTCGTTTCCCACTTGTTTCTTTAGAGTCAACCCTGACTTTTAAAAATTAATTTACAAGAGCTCTTTTTTATTTTAGAAATATTACATTAATCCTGTCAAGTAGCTGTACTGAAAGTACTTTTTCCTAATAGTTTTTTTTTTCCCATCCTTGTTTTGGGGGGTTTATTTTTTTGAGGTCTTACGCTTCCTTTTAAAGTTTCATATCATGCTTAGCAAGATACTCATCAACACAAGACTATAAACAGATATTTTCTTCTAGAGCTTTTATGACTTGAATTTTTACATTGAAATGTTTGATCTTTACTAGAACGTGTTTAGGTATAAGCAGTGAGATCTAGCTTTGCTTTCCCGCAAATGGCCAATCAACTGGCCCAGTACCTTTTATTGAATAATCCATTTCCCTCCCACTAACTTGAAGTGTTTCGTTTATCATATGTCAAACCCCACTGTACCTGGTTTCTGGACTCTAGTCTTTTCCATTATCTGTTTGCCTACTACTATATCAGAACCACAGTTACTGTAGCTTTATAATGTGTTTTAATGCCTAAAGGAGTGTGCACAAAGAAGAACAAAGAGAACTGCTCACTACCCAGTTCTACAAGGGTTAACGGGTAACTCACTGCAGCTGCCCACCGACAGCGCACCCTGAGAGGAGTTCAGGATGAAAAACAGGATGAGGGACTCTGTGCTTTGGATAAATAGGCCTTTAGATAGTTAGATGCATATCTCAGGAAGAATTTCAATGACCCCAGATTCTTGCCTCTTCGCAGGCAAGAACTGAAAAAAGAAATAGAAAAGCACTAAAATCACTAACTTGAGATATCTGTTCTTCGTGATTAGCAGTAATCTTTTACCAAGATATATGCTTGACTGCATGAATTTCCTAGCCAAAAAATCACATATAAACTGGCTTCTCCCCTACCTCTTTAGGGCAGTTTCCTCACAGCTGACTGGCTGTCTCCTGGGCTATAATCCTCAGTAAGACTCTGGATAAAACTTACAACTCACAACTCTTATGTTGTGTGTCTTTCTTTAAGTCAACTGGAGCAAGTTCCTGCCTACCATTTTCTTTCAGAAAGCTCCTGGCTATTCTCATTGATTTATTCTTTCAGATAAACTGTTGACTTTCTTAAATCCTCCCACTCTGCCAGGAAAAAAAAATCTGATTAATATTCTGAGATTGCATTGAACTTACAGTTTAATATTGGAAAAATTGACATTGAAGAATAAAGTATGGATCTCCAAAAACTAGTGGTTACCAGTGGGCAGAGGGAAGAGGGGAGGGACAATATAGGGGTAAAGTAGTAAGAGGTACAAATTATTATGCATAAAATAAGCTACAAGGATACACTGTACAACTGTACAAAAATATGGGGAATATAGCCAATATTTTATAATAACTATAAATGGAGTATAACCTTTAGAAATTGTGGATCACTGTATCATACACCTGTAACATAAATAATATTGTATGTCAACTATACTTCAATTTAAAAAAAATACAAATTTTATTGGAACCATACAGAGAAGATTAGCATGGCCCCTGCGCAAGGATGACATGCAAATTCATGAAGCGTTCCATATTTTTAAGTGAGACAGTGGCATGGACATATATATACCACCAAATGTAAAATAGATAGCTAGTGGGAAGCAGCCGCATAGCACAGGGAGATAAGCTTGGTGCTTTGTGTCCACCTAGAGGAGTGGGATAGGGAGGGTGGGAGGGAGGAAGACGTAAGAGGGAGGAGATATGGGGACATATGTATATGTATAGCTGATTCACTTTGTTATAAAGCAGAAACTAACACACCATTGTAAAGCAATTATACTGCAACAGAGATGTTAAAAACAATAATAATAAATAATAAAGTACGAATTTTAAAAAGAAACAAATATGGCTCTCCATTTATTATTTCATGTCTCTCAGAATTTTCGTTTTTCATCATAATCAATTTTACATATTCCTTGTTAATTAATTCTGGGTACTTAATAATTATTGTTTCTATTATAAATGGGTCTTATTTCCCATTATGTTTTCTAATTGGCTTTAGCTGGTATAAAAACATCATTCTGATATCTTTTTAATCTTACCAATATCCTTGATTTCATTTCCTGATTATCTATAAAGAGATAAAAACAGTGTACAATTTAACTGAATCTTATTAAACATATTACATATAAGGTTTTCTCACCAATTTTTAAACAGTACCTGAAAGTTATAGTAGTAAAATAAAGATTACAGTCTCATAGAAGAATGTAGGCGCCTACCTTTAACATCCTTGCTCATTCTATGAATGTCTTATTTTCTTAGCATTAAGGAATTTAAAAATATTATTTCATAAATACTAATAGTAAACAGAAAAATAACCTCAATTTTACTTAAATAAATCCAGCATCCACCCAGCTGAAAAAAGGAAAAGCTCCAAGGCCCACAATAAACACATAAAACAAGACTGATTGGGAGCTTCCAATTACTAACTCTGTAATCAAGTGGGCTTTGTAACCCGACCAAAATATGATCTTTATCCCAGAAAATTAAAATTAGTAGATTTGATTGTTCTTTGATTATCCACCTGCTTGTTCTATGATTATCCACCATGTCCTGGATTTGAATACTGGGAACACAAGTAAATCAATACACCATCAAATGAGATAATGAATTTGAAAAGCATACCCAGATGATCAGACACCCCCAATCAAGGTCTGGACAGACTCAATATTGTACAAAACTAACAAACTAAATTACTTAAGACTGAGAAAATATCACACAAACATAATCAAAATGCTTATAAAGGTGTGCAAAATAATGCATTCTCCCGTAGAGAAGCAGCTACTCATTTAATAAGCCCCAGGGTTAGTAAATGGCTTTTTAAATCAAACCCTGCTTCCAACACGAGAGACGAAAAAATATTGTTTTTAATTTGTCTAATAAGAAGCAAAGAAGCATCCTGAGGGACAATGCATTACGAGCAAGACATGCTGGAGAAACTAGAGTCTTCTTGTTCTTAGCTTGTCCTAAAAACATGTCAAAGCCAAGATAAACTGCTTTTTGATTATCTACCACTTTAGAATACACATGCCTTCCATTAACATGGGCACCCAAGGTTCTGAGAACTGTCACAAGTTCAGATCTCTTTATTACAAGAAAACACCTTCTGAATGATTAAAACACAAAGGATACAGCAAAGAGCTTTGGCAAGGGATCCTGCCAGCAGAGTTTCTGTATGTTGACCCTCTATGTCACCTGCAGATAACAAAAAACATTAAAAAGGGAATTTTTAGGTCCTTTCTTGACCTAAAATCATTTTCAAACCAAAGCATTCTTCTTCATGAATGAAATCAGATGACATTTTCAAACTGGGTTTAAAAACATAGATAAGCAATTTTTAAACATTTTCTCAATTTAAAATACCCCAGTGGTTGGGGGCTGAAGGGGCAGGAATGGGGGGTTGTTGTTTAATGGGTATAAAGTTTCAGTTTTCGATGATGAAACAGTTCTGGAAATGGACAGTGGTGATTTTGCGCAACAGCACGAATGTACTTAACGCCACTGACCTGTACACTTAAAAATGGTTAAAATGGTAAATTTTATGTTATAAAAAACAGATAATAAAAAATATCCTGGTGTTACTGGGGAAGGTTGTGGTTGCTCAATGACCTAAGCAGTAGCACAGGCCCTGTGCAACTGCAGGCAGCCTGGACAGTGGCCCCTGGCCAGGCCCCGAGCCCTTCCCACTGCCTCCCACCTGCCTGGGAAAGCTGTGAAAAGAGGACTGGAGAAAGTGCCCTGGCTATGGGAGGCAGCGACAAGGTTTACAACTTATTTGGAGACTTGAGTGAAAAACAGTCACTCTCATAAAAATAAAAATTCTATACCTTCAGCACAAGAAGGTGGGGAGCCCAGATTGACACGCTGTGCGAACAGGGCCTGCAACTGGTCCAGGAGCACTGATACCCCACGGGGAGGTCAGACCAGGAAAGGTCTGGAACACTATACTGAGAAGTTGGGACTTTGCCCTGGGGGCCAGTGGTTGCTCAAAACATGATTCGAGAACCAGCTGTAGGAATATCACCAGGGAACTCAATAGAAACACAAATTCTTGGGCCCTCCCTAAACCCAGTGAATCAGAAACTATGGAGTGGGGTTCAGTATTTCATTTTAACAAGCCCTCCAGGTGATTTTTAACATTTTTATTGGGGTATAACTTACAGATCACAAAATTATATTTTTAAGCACACAAGTCAATGATTTTTAGTAAATTTATAGGGATGTAAATCCTCGCCACAATCCAACTGTAGAACATTTCCATCACCCCGAAAGATCACTTGGGCCCATTCCCATCACTTCTCTGCTCCTCCCCAGCCCCAGAAGAAATCATTAATCCACTTTCTGTCTCCAGAACTGCCTTTTCCCTACAGGTGATTTGGACACAGGAGACAGACTGAAACCACTGCCTGCAGGCAACAGGGAATCAGCAAAAGGTCTTTAAGGGCAGGAAGAGCAGCTCTGATATTTAAGATGATACCTCTAGATGCTGAGTAGAAAGACTGGAACGGAGAGAGACAGGAGTCGGTTAAGAAGTTAGTAACAACGATCTAGAGCAAAGGCTCTCCACCTGGGCAACTGTGCCCCACAGGAGACATTTGGTTCTCACAACCGGGGGATATTACAGCATCCAGTTGGTTGAGGCCAGGGATGCTGCTAAGTATCCTTCACAGCACAGGAAAGCCCCACAATAAAGAATTACCCAGCCCAAAATGTCAGCACTGCCAAGGCTCAGCTAGATGGCAGGTAATAAGGGGTCAGACTTTGGAGATACTGCTGAGGATAGATTAATAGGATCTCATAGCTGACTAGATGTTGGATGAGGAGGAAGGAGTCAAAACAGAAAATTTTGGAAAAGCAGGTGGCTGGGGGGGTGACAGAAATAGGAAATGGAAATGGTGGTCTGAGAGAAAAGACAATGAAACTGGTCTGGGCCGTGTTAATGAGACTGTGGGACATTTAAGTGGAGACATTTGCAAGTTGAAAGAAAGGTTAGATTAGAGACAAAAACTGGGAAGTGTTCATAAATAAATGATAATTAATGACAAGAGTGGATGAGAACACGCAGAGGGAGAAAATAATAACCCGGCAGAATAAAAAAATGAATATATTTTTAAGAAGAAAGAAGAAAAAGTCAGAAATGGAAGAAAGGATGGTCCAAAAAAGAGGAAAAATAGGTCAACAGGCTATCCTCAGAAACCAGAGTATTTTAAGAAGCGGAGGATGGCGAACAGGGTCAATGCTGCAGAGGTCAAGCAGCTAATGCACAGGCTTTGATGGAAAAGATTTTTTAAAAGAAAAGAGAGAATGAAGTAAATAGTATCGAGATCCTCAAAGTTTTGGACTCAAAGCCTCAAGGACCTCCACACTCAACTCCACTTGCAAACAGCAATAATGGAAGAAAAAAAAAAGCTGAAAGCAGTTACTCTTGGTCATTAGATCTTTGATCTCTTCAACAATAACTTCATTTGCTGCTGTTAGCAACTCATATTTTCCGTCTTTGCTTCCTGAGGGAGTAAATTCAGAAGAAGCGTTGCCAGGGTCTCCAAAGAAGTCTCCGAGTCTGCCATTCTTTCCAGGATATAAGAATCGGCTGAAACAGAAAAACAAAACACCAAAAAGAACCTAGTTACACCAGGACTTGAAGCCCTCACTAAACATCAAAGTGAAATCCAACACACATAACAAAAACCACACCAATTCCAGACTCTCAAGATTCCATAATAAATTTCAGTTTTAAAGAATGCAGAAAATAGGCAAGTGGGCAAACATGAGTCTACCACCACAGAATATCTTGATGATTCCACTGTTTTCTTAAAAAACGAGAAGAATAAAGAAGGTACTGGGTTACCGTCTCTTGAAATGCTTCATACCAAATTCTTACCTACTACTAGTTTATTATTTGAGGTATATTTATCTACCCCAGTAATATCTGGTACAAGGGTCCCTAAGCACTGAACAGGAAGAGTAATCATAATGGTCATACCTTTCTTGAATGTGACTTGCTATCACAGCAAGTTTGTTGGAACGATTCATGAATAAATGAGAATTTCCTAGCACCATCACTGCATCTATGCATTTTGATAAAGTAAACTGTTGAAAAACAGAAGACAAAAGAAAGGTAAATTAGCTATCCAAATAGCTATGTCAGGTCTTGAAATGATTAAGATTTCATTTAAATTTTAGACAATTATTCACTTCTAAAAATTTGCTCTGGAGCTCCCCCCCTCCAAAGTCATAAGCAAAAACATTTGAAACCTACAGTTTTCCAATACTGAACAGCACAGACTTGCCCATTTCTGACTTGCTTAGAAAAACAACACATGGTAGGTCAGATCCCACGGAGCAGAGCAAAATGAAGGAAGAATTGCTGTTGGGGGATGGGATTGAACTGGGGAAGTAAGGAGATATGGTCCTTTTTTATAAACATGATGACTGATTTGTGCTAGAGATGACCTAAATATAATTTAGTCAGTAGCATCAATCTTTACTAATACTGGTTATAGAGAATTGCCCTTACTTTTTCTCCTCCCTTACATAAC